AAATAGTAATGCCCCTACTTTAAAGGTCAATCATCTCTTGACCTCCTACTTTGGGACTCGCAGTTGTTGAAACTCAATATCTCGGGATGGTGCCTGGGTACAAGCTTGTTTAACAAGCTCTACTCAGGACTTTTCAGTGCTAAGTTTTGAAATCCACTGTTTTACTCTTTTCCAGCTCTAAAAGTCTGGTTCTGTGAGTCTCTGTATTTGAATATGCTTTAACTTAAAACCATATGTAATTAAATGGGCATTAACCAGTTCGAAAGATTTTCTAACACAATAAGCAACCTGATTGGGCTATATAATGTCATGACTTCGGTTTAAGGGAAAAAAAGGGAGAGCTGGTTATACATAGTCTGTGGCAAAGGCAGATATGGATACCATATTAAGAAGCTCACTGATAACCTAAATAAATTGTTTGGTCTAGCTTTTCCTCCAAAATTATCAGAGCTGTTTCCAAGTAGCCAACAAACAGCAAAGTCAACTGACGTTAATTTCATTTGTTTTCCCTCTGTCTATTCTGTATTGGTGGCATGTCAGAAAACTGTGGAAAGGATCCAGATAACCCATAACCTGAGCAATGAGCCCCTGAAAACCAAGGGTCATTACATCTACTGCCAGAAACATGGAACTAATTCTGGAGTAGCTTCCTCTACATTGCAGCTGTACAATCTCTTACCTAGCCAGTAGGTGGAGGCACAAGCAAACTTACTGCTTTGCTCTTTGAGCCACAGGACCTTAAATCTTATAGTAAATTGGTTTTTCATTTATTCATTTGTTTTAAACCCAGGAGATCAAAGAGAATGCAAAAAACTGAACAAGGACAACTGTTGAGGTGAATTTATAAAAAGTGATACAAAAGAACAATTTTATATTTCTATTTTGTTTCTGGCCCTTTTGAAAAATAACTAAGTTATTTTAACTGTGAATTCATAATCCACTTCCAGATCCCAGAGCTAATAAAACAATTCCAAATTTAAAAATATAGCTTTTAAAAATTCATGTTCAATCAGGGAAAACTGATTATCAACTGAATATGACGTAATACTAAGGAATTATTGTTGATTTTGCTAGGTATGATAATACTATTATGGACTGGTATCTATCTATACCTATATTTCAAGTCCTTATTTATAAATACAAACAGGAGTATGTATAGGTGAAATGATATCGCTTTAGAAATCACCAGGAAAAAGAGAGAGGGAGACAAACCATAAGAGACGTAAATACAGAGAACAAACTGTAGGTTGCTGGAGAGGTGTTGGGGGGGGATGGGCTAAATGGATGATGGGTATTAATGAGGACACTTGTTGTGATGAGCACTGGGTGTTATATGTAAGTGATTCTACTCCTGAAATCATTATTACATTACATGTTAACTTGGATTTAAATACAATTTTAAAAATTAAAAAAAAAAAAAAAAGAAATCACCAGGGGGGAAGAAAACGACAACAGTAAAGGATAGATAGAGCAAGAATGGCAAAATGTTGATAACTGAAGTTCAGTGACAGGTACACTGAGGTTCATTATACTATTCTCTTTTTATTTGAAATTTTCCAAAACAGGAAGGAAGAAAATTAAATTATGATGCCACATTCTTGTGATCTGGGTTAACACTGAGATTAGGCTGACTGGTAAATATGCGACTTTAATGAAGTCTTATCTCTGTATACAGCCATCGAGGAATTATTTCAATCATAACTGAATCATACCAAAAATTCGCTCTATAAAAAACTAAAACTAACCTGCTAAATCTCCTGGAAACAATAGCTTCCAGTTGTGGAGCGCTTCACCATTTTATGAGGTGAATTCATATAATTTTCCCATCTAGTTCTCATGATCTTATGGAGATTTTAAAGATAAAAATCCTGAGGCTCAGAGAAGTTAAGACTTGGCCAAAGTCACATGATCAGTAGAAGTGACAGAGCTGGGAACACTAACACAAGTTTTATAACCCCAAAGACTTTCTTCTCTCTGCCATACTATCGCTTAGACCCCCTTGAAACAAATAGTAAACATGATGAAATTTACGTAAAATTTAAAATTTTGCTTTCTGTGCTCATTACTTGAAAGTATATGATGAAACTGGCTTTTTTGTTTTCTCAGCAAATAAAACTATGGATGGAAATAGATTTCTTGAATAAAGAATGAAATTAAACCAGAGAAAGTAATTAAAAAAGAATTAGAATATTCTTAAAATTGAAGGGGACGGTTAAAGGCCCTCTCTAGCCCCAAATTAAACCTGTATCTTTAGCTCCTTTGGATGCAACCAGCTTTAGCTCAAGCACTTCTAGTGAGGAACTGCATACTCCGTTAGACAGCCTGCTTTATTCACTGAGTCAGTCTAATCGCTAAAGGGGGTTTCCTTGCTTAGAGTTGAAATCTACCTGCTGCTTGTTGATTCCCGTTACAGACCCTGACCCTACAATGAATAAGCATAATCCTCTTACATAGGACACTCTTAAATAACTGAACAAATCCACTATGTTCTACCATGGGCTTCTGCTCTGAGAACTCTTTTAGCAGAAAAAGAAAATCAATTAGATTCTTGAGTCACTAAAGCTTCCCAGTCTTTTCAACAGCTTTTCCATGGTCTTCAACTGGGACTTGGGTATCTCTGGGAGTACTCAAGCCCTTCGAGGAGATTGAAGAATTAGGATATTTTTAGGGCAATCAATGTCTCTTCCTTCATTAGCCACAATTTGATTTGTCTGAAAACAATTCTATGTTCTGCTGATTTTCCTTTCACATGTCCACTCATAGGAGCCCATCTCAAAAGACAAACTGCTCACCCATCCTGAAAAGCCTGTCTAGCTTCAGAGCCAACTAGGGAATGCGAAGCTCCTGAGGGAGAGACCCTTGAGAGCAAACAGAGCTTCAGAAAGAAAAAGGAGAGCCACCTTATTTCATATGGACAATATATGCATGGCAAAGCCTTATCTATTTTAGAATTAAAAATCAATAGTAAGATGATTGTCACAGGGATGTCTATTAACACACTTCATTTTATTTGAAAAATGAAGGCAGATTTTTCTCTGCCAGAAAGCGTGTCTGATTTGGCTGACTGGCTTGACAATGATGACTAGCTTTGCCATTTAGGTCACACAGAAGACATTTTCCATAAACTGAACAAGATAAAGGTACAGATCTACAGTTTTGAAGAAAATATATTTAAAAGAATATACAAAACACTAAAAATTATAGCCTCACAAGCAAAGTTTTTTTTTTTTTCTAAATTTTTTTTTTTCAACGTTTATTTATTTTTGGGACAGAGAGAGACAGAGCATGAACGGGGGAGGGGCAGAGAGAGAGGGAGACACAGAATCGGAAACAGGCTCCAGGCTCTGAGCCATCAGCCCAGAGCCCGACGCGGGGCTCGAACTCACGGACCGCGAGATCGTGACCTGGCTGAAGTCGGACGCTTAACCGACTGCGCCACCCAGGCGCCCCAGAGTTTTTATGTATCCACTCAAAAGTATGTGAGGAGGTACATGGTTTTCAAAATTCTTTTAGCAGGTATGCCAACAAAAACTTTGAAGGCTGTGACTCTATGGCAAAATTTCTAGGCTCTTTGCCACTCTGGTTATCCCCTTCTGGAAGCATGCCAGTGTCCTGCTTACCACGAACACTCTAGGGAGAATGGGTAGCATACAAAACGGTGGGACTGTGGCGTGGTTCTAAATAACTATATACTTTTAATTAATGTAGCTGAAGGTTCCATTCAGGGCTTCTGTTAAGCTGTTGCAACAACTTTCAAAACATTTACTTCTTTTTCACATAAGCAGTTACAACTAAATTTACAGTGATCTTGCACTTATATAATCGAATGAAGGAGTCTGTATTAACTAGCTTTAAGTTTCATCTTTGTTTGAGTTCCTTTGCTACAAACTTGTAAAATGTTTTAAAATTCTGATCTAGATATTCAATGTATTAGCTAGCCCTCCATGGGGGTGAAGCTTCTGACATGGCTCCCAAACACCACCAGCATCTGCTCATATTCACACCCTGGTGTAATCCTCTCCCCCTGGGTGTGGGCTGGATCTGGTGACTGACTTCTAACTGATAGAATATAGTAGAAGTGATGGTGTGTGATTTCTGAGATGAGGTTACAAGACTGACTTCCATCCTATTTGTATTCTAGCCTTCTTGCCTGCTGACGCTGGATGAAACCAGCTGCCATGTTGTGAGTTGCTCGATGAAGAGGCCCAGTGACAAGGAACCTAGGGAGGCCTAAGGCCAACAGCTCACAAGGAACTAAGGCTAGCAGTCGGATAGCCTGCTGCCAACAACCATTTGAGTGGGCTTGGAAGCAAATCCATCCCCAGTGGAGTCTTAAAATGACACCAGCTCTGGCTAATGCCTTGATTACCACCTTGTGAGAGACCCTAATCAAAGTCATGGATTAAAATTCTGAAAAGAGTAGAAGGCCATCCCATAAAGCTTTATACAACCTCTTTGGACACAGTTATCCAATCAGCTACAAAACTACCCAGTTATACTATCCTTGGCTCACATTTCTCCATCTTATTGGCAAAAATTCTATGAGAAACATGTCAAGTGGCTTATTAAAATCAAGATAACACTGTTATCTTCAGAATTTCCTTAATATGCCAAAATAGTCATTATATCAAAATAGGAAGTTGAGTCTGTTTTGAAAGGCTTGCTACATGGAGACCTCTACTCCCATCCCACTCCTCTTCAATAGGACTCCTATGGTCACAATGTTATATTTTGGGGCCTCCTGTCCATCTGAACTCTATTTCTCTCTACAGCCTCCTGTCTGAAGTATGCTAAAAAGGAGGGCAACTAAATATGCCCAACTTTTGCTTCCTTAGCCATTGTGAACTTTAAGATGAGATAATCCTTTTATTCTTGTTACTTTTTTTCTACACAGATGAGCTTACAACTATTGTTACATTTTAAGAGGAAAAGTGTTAGCATTATCCCAAACCAACACTGCTTAAAACTTTAACCCTTAAGAAAATAAAATGCACACTCACAATTCAAAAACCATGTAAAGCATTCCATCTGAGCTATATGTCTCCAATAACTCTACAATGTGGGGATGTTTCAGCATATGACAGATACTGGCTTCCCGCTTTAGATCTGCAAAACAAACACAGGACATACTTTGTTAGGTAAGAACAAACGACAATCAGAGTGAATGATGAATGAATGGATGTGATCTATGGTAACATGAAGACTTCTCTAACTAAAGAGATGAAATCCCCCATTTACGCTAAGCTTAACTTTTTTACCCTATAAATCTTTGACAACATAACTTTTTCATATTCCTGCCAGTCTGTGTGTGTGTGTGTTGTGTGTGTGTGTGTGTGTGTATACAGTACAGTTAGCTCTTATTTTTATTTATTTTAAGTAAGCCCTATGCCCAATGTGGGGCTTGAACTCACAGCCCCAAGATCAAGTCGTACACTCTACTGACTAAGCCAGTCAGGCACCCCAGCACTTATTAATAAGAAATGTAAATAGCACAAATACTTTCTCCAAACTCTTTATAGTCAAGTCTCAAAATTTATAATTTTCTTGATGTGCTAATAAATAACTCAATTTGCCATTTTAACATTTTACCTCTTTTTCTTAGTCTTCCCCAAATTGGATAAGAATGTTGTCTATTCTTTGGCCTAAAATCTAGCATTTGCACACACACACCAGGAAGTTATATGGAATAAAGGGCCAAATAAAATTAGTATGATTTAAACAGTAAAGGTTGAGAGTAAACTCTCAACCAGCAAAGTCAGAAATTTATTTTCTATCATCTATAAAATGTATTTGATAATTCAGGACACTACTCATAGTGTTATCTTGAAGAACAAGTTCAGACAATGTAGGTAGACTATTGCATAAGAGTTACAAAATACTGTTTGGAAAATAAAACGGTTAATATCATCATCATCATACAAACACATTTTAGGCATAGGTATCACTTGCTATGTCCCCATGGAACAAAATAACTAAAGCCTTCCTGTATTAATTGTGGTGTTTTACCTGTTTGCAGGTGAATAGAATCCAATAAGACATTTTTATATTTGGAAGTAGAAGGGAGACAGGTAAAGAAGAAGGCTAAGGACGTACTACATAAGGCAAATGAGATGTTATCTCCTCTCTGATTTATTAATTCAACTTAGCCTCGTCAATGAGAGCAATGGCTGAAGACTGAACCACAGAAGACCGGGTAAGGGTAGAATGAGGAAAAGAAGTTGGTAAATTAGACAAAAGAGAAGCCACCAGAAAAGGAAGAATCAATAATATTACGAAAGTCAAGGGGATAGAGGGAATTAAGGCATGAGTAGTTGGAGAAGGCTGAGAAATGGCCGTAAGGGTCAGTCAGAAAAGACCATTAGCATTCTGAGCAAGATCAAGTTCTGTGGAGAGGGCAGGTTTGAAGTCAGTATGCAGGAGACAATTATGTAATAACAGATTAAAATTTATCATGTTTCTCACTGGCCTAAGTACTTAATAGAGTCATTACCATTTACTGTCCCAATACCCCGATGAGGTAGTTATTTTACAGGTGAGGAAGCTGAGGCCTAGAAAGGCATTCAAGATCACACAGCTCCCACAAGGGGTAGGTCTGAGCCCTGGCTTGTCCACCTCCAAAGTCAGCAAACAGTCCTTCCACAATGCCATGCCAGGTTTAGACATGATCAAATTCGAAGAATCTTGCTGTAGGCAAGAAACAGCAAAGTCGAAGGTCTGATTTTTCTGTTTTTGCTGTTGTTTTAAAGGGAACACTGTGTTTCTAAGTGGCAGTGATGAAAACTCCATGGGATCTACAGCCAGAAACTTGGTGCAGGTTCTGCTGCCTGGCCTGCTGAGCGACTGCTATCCTCTACAAATGCCTTTGTCACTGCAGATGAAATGGGGCAGGCCACACGCAATGCAGGCCCTGCAGACTACTCAGCCACCTTCAGGGGGCAGCGGTAAGATTTCCATGAAAAAAGATATGGAAGGACTGTATGGAATGCAGCACTGTGGGGCTGAGGGACAGGGTGGCTCAGTGTTCAGGGGAAAGGAAGAGGTCAGAGGCACATGAATGATGGTCTCCATCTCCAAAAGTGCTTGGAAAGGTCATGCAGGAGAGGAGAGGTGTGAATCAGGTGTGGGTTTTGTGCTGAGAAGTCATAATTATGAGGAAGGCTTTTGACAAGTGTGCTAGAAAGCCAGGTTGAAGCCAGGATACATAAATCAGGTATCTGCACAGTTTTTTCTCTCTTCCTTCAAGAATGTTCTGCCTCCAAATTTTATGAAAAGCTCAGGAGTTTTATTACTCATTTTAACATTTATTTCTTATTTTGCCCCTTTCATGTAACTACAGTGTGTTTCAACTTCCACACTCACTTCCCATGTACCACATTGTCGTACCAAAAGACTGCAGGTAGAAATGGATGCTCTAAAGACCCTTCCACTGGACCTGCACATTTCTTCTTGGTATACGGTTCAACCTGCTGCCAGTCTAGTCTCTTATCATCTACCCACCCCCATCAAAATGAAGGCAGAATTGCTGGGGACCCTCCATTCAAAGACTAAACTATTTATCTTTATATTTTTTTATTTTTAAAGTTTATGTATTTATTTTGAGACAGTGAGTAAGCATGAGTAGGGGAGTGGCACGGAAAGAGAGGGAGAGAGTGTCATTGCAAGCAGGTTCCAAGCTGTCAGCACAGAGCCTGACATGGGGCTCCATCCCACAAACCGTGAGACCATAACCTGAGCTAAGTTCAAGAGTTGGACACTTAACTGACTGAGCCACCCAGGTGCCCCAAAGATAAACTGATTTAAACATCACTGGATTTGGCAATTCAGGGACTAAAAATCAGAACACCGAACAACACAGAACAAACATAAAAATATATTTCAAATTATAAGGACAATGATGCTAAAGATGGTTTACATCTAGGATAATTAGGGCACCATTTTCCATAATTCAAATATCAATTAAATTGGTATATATTAAATGCTCAAATGGAAAATCATGGTTTAAAAAACACAAATGCATTATATATAATTTAAATTATAGATTCCAGGAGCATTAAATTCAGAATGCTTGTTTCTAGATGTGAATGTGAATTAAAGATGTATTTATTAAGAGCTATTAATTTTTTGCTGATATAGCAAACTAAGAATAGCATTTTCCTACAAATCAACTCATGAAGCAGAGTAGCAAGGAATTCAAAAGTAGGTGATAATGATTTGAAGTTGTGGTTATCTGAATGCTTGGAGGTACAAGCACAGAACGTGCCTGGGAGTGCCCTGACCGAGGTACCATTGCTGTTTTAAAGTGCTTCTTTGTCCATAGTAACTGGTAACTCTGTCTACTCTTTCTTGTATTTTTTTCAATTTGTAATCTCTCAGGGAAATTTAAAAGACTGAATACGGAAAGTAATATTTAGTTTTCTGACCATAACTGGAGAAACACACTGAAATCAATCCCTTATATGGCATGAGTACTACTGCTACTACTCCTAATACCAGTTTCCTAAGAAGTTTTAGACGTCCAACAGTAAAGCAACTATGCCCTGCAGGTTCGACCTCTCTAGTCTGCCCCTCAAGTAAGGGAGAGTTCAGGAAATGGTTTCAGGTGGTCTGTTTTATTTATTTTTTTGAAGGGGGGGGGGGGAAGGAATAGAGGGAGAGAGAGAATCTCAAGTAGGCTCTGCACCCAATGTGGAGCCCCATGAGGGACTCGATACCATGAACCCTGAGATCATGACCTGAGCCAAAATCAAGAGTCAGACGCTTAACTGACTGAGCCACCCAGGCGCACCTAGGTGGTCTGTTTTGAAAAGAAGTTTCCTGGGGGGTCTGGCTGGCTCACTTGGTAAAGCATGTGACTCTTGGTCTCAGGTCATAAGTTTGAGCCTCACACTGGGTGTGGAGATTGCTCAAAAATTAAAGCTTTAGAAAAAATAAAAAGTTTCCTAGAAGGTCTTTATTATTCATTTTACTACCAGTTGTTCTTGTGATAGAATTCTTCATACTGTCTTTTAAAAGTTGGATGCCACTTTCAGAGTACCACAATTCTGCAACAAGGTAATCTGACCATTGGTCAAAAATAATTTGGGTATTTACAAATATGATTGAAAAAAGAATTTCTGACATTCATAGCATTACAGTAGCAATCTCGACTTCAACATCTGAACTTAAAAAGGTCTAAATTTAACAGTTAGCTTGCCTAGAGCTATTCAGTAAGTTTAGATCAGCACTGCCCAACAGAAGTATAATGTGAGTCACATAATTTTAAATTTTCCAGTAGCCACATTAAAAAGTAAAAAGAAACAGGTGAAATTTATTTTCATAACATACCTTATGCAATCTAATATATCCAAAGTATGTCAACATAATCATATTAAACTTATTAAATATTAAATATATTAAATATATTAAATATAAAACATTATTAAATTCTTTTTCTGTATCAAGTCTTTGAGATCTGGTAGTGTTTTACATCTGTAAGTACATCATAATTTGGACCACCCATATTTCAAGTGCTCACAGCCACAACACGGCTAGTGGCTACCAAACTGGAACAGTATAGTTAGTTGTAGATAAACTGACTTTGGTTCTTATCCTCTCTCAATTGTGAGTTCTCCTGCATTTCTTACACAGATATTTTGTAAAGTTACCCAGTCATTCAAAAAAGAATCTAAACTCAAAAGATGTGTTTAAAAAAAATTTCCATAGAAGGAAACTCCACTTTTAATAATCCAAATCCATCACTCAACAACTTAAATCTGGAATTTTGTCACTATTTTTAACCTAGATCCTTCATTTGGTAGTTTTAAATTATTTTATCTTGTTTAATCTACCAAACACAAAAACAGTGCTCAAAATCTACTGTACTGCACTGCCCTTTGTACACTTCAAGATTTATTCAATGACCTTAGACTATGTATGCAGTGTAACATTTGAGAGTTTACTATGCAACATTTGGGATTTTAAGTGCCATCCTATAAATCCTTGTTTAATAATTATAATAACCCTGTAAGATAAATATACCTATTCCCATTTTGAAGGGGAAGAAACTGTGGCCCTGGGTGCAGTGAGATAAAGAAGGAAGTTGTTGAAATCACACAAATAGTAAGTAA